ACATAGTCTGCAAGTCTGCAACCTTGCTATTCCATCTCAACTGTGCGTGACGACGGAAAATACATAGTCTGCAAGTCTGCAACCTTGCTATTCCAGGACTATGTTATGAACATGATCGTCTGCTGAAATTTTATCAACACTCACTCACAGGAACTCCCGTACACGCCCATACATGCACAGAAGGAAGGGGAGAGGTAGTGGAGTATCACACCGCCCACCGGAAAGAAACGCAGCGGAAGACTCAGAAGAGCGAAGTGACAGAATACACAGACAGTGAATTCTCTCCACACAAGTCMCAACAATCATTCATAGAAGACAACCGAGTGATCACAGCCAGAAAGCAATGAAGAGATGACAACTCGAACACAGTATGGACACTGTTTATTACACTCAGGGCATCGTTTTCACTGAATAACCTCAGAACCATGTTGCGCTACCCTCAGAGGGGTAGCGCCTTAAACCCAACACCCTGAACAGCTAAAAATAGCACCGAAAACCCAGGTAACACCCAGCGCCACCCTGACATCCAACTCAGTGGCCTGCGCCAAAGTGAAACAGGCTCCCAGAGCCAATTGCCATCTAGATGATGAAGAAGAAGCTCAGCGCCAACAGTCCCTGATGAAGATGAAGTCCAGATGATGAGATCTCTGAGAAGATGCAGCTATGGCTGCATCGCCACTGGGACCCTACTCCTGAGGAGGGTCAGCAGTGCACCACGTGCTCCAACGCATCAGACCTCTGATAGCCCAGACCGCTATGACTCCCAAAGAGTCAGAGCGGACAACGTTGACCCCAGTCCGGTCAACGCTCCGAAGGTCCGGCTATCTCCGCCGTGTCCAGCACCGGAATCAGCAACCACGGCCTGATACCGTGTGCGCAGCAACTTCCACCACGAAGTGTCAATTGCCAAAAGCCCTGGACCGGTGTCCCCATCCTACCTATACTCTACACTAGCCTAGACCGACCTAGACCGGACTGACTGACCGACCGGTACCGTTTCAGTTTCGGCCTCTAGGGCCTCTCCCTACCCGGCTATAGGCTATAGGACCGTCTATCAGCATAGGCCCATAGAGCCTGTCTGTCCTAGGGGTAGCCCGGGTCCGCTATTCGCAGTTAGGTTAGCTGTAGGAAAATCGGGTTAGTACTGGGCCCATATTTCTATATTTACAGATATGTCCCTCACGAATTTTCCCTACAGGGAGGTCTCTCGGTTAGTCCTCAGCCAAACAAAATTACGAATCTGTCCCTACCTAGAGTACAGCCTCGTCAGAGATAGGCTACAGGCAGCCGGAAACCAGCAAGTCATTGCAGACCTACCCTCCCCCGGAGCGAGGACCTCCGAGCTAGGGGCGTAGGCGTGCAGAGCGTCGAAGGGGCTCTCCCTTCTGCGCAGCCTCATATTTGAGGATAATAGACTTTGTTGTTTTCAAAAGTTCCTTGCGAGTAAACCAGCGGTCCTCTGTATGGGGCTGGTAGAGAAACTTCACAAGGTACTCCTTATCCAGACCTGTACCATACTCATCCACAACCTCTTCTACCTCATATCCCTTCCCAGGGATCGGGGGACCAAATTGTGGAGGCGTGTCTGGAAATGCATCCGCTGGTGTAAAAGGCAGCAGCTTAGACGCATGAAAGACAGGGTAGGTTTGTAGATGTAGTGGGACATCTACATGATACAGAGATGAGCATTTTTCTTTTGAAATGCCACTTCACCCAACCCACCCAAAATTTTCTTAGTACATGCAACCCTTAAAAAAAAAAAAAAAAAAAGGTTTGAAGCTGATCCAACCCACCCAAGCATTTTTTTGAATTTTTCTGCCCACGCCCAACCCACCCGCCACCCGTAAAAAAGGTTCACCCAGACCCACCCGCACCCGCAAGAAAATCATTGCCCGCCTGCACCCGGGATGTAGTATTTTTTCCCCCGCAGCCGGTCGTGCCCGCTATTGTCATGATAGGATGGCCCGAAAGGGTCAGCCCCCACTGTATCCAAAACCTGCCACGGACCCATGTAACGCGGCAGCAGTTTAGGCGAAATGTCCTCCTCCCGCGATAGCTCAGAGCTGAGTACCCAGACCCAGTCACCAGCGCGAATGGGGGATGGTCGATGATGTTTGTTAGCCTGCTGGATCATAGCCTTTTGGGCTTTGAGCAGGTTAACTCTGGCTCGTTCGATATCCCTCTGGTACTGTCTGGTGAACTCTGCAGTCCCAGGAGTCAGTCTGGGAGTAGCCTTATCGATGATGTCATCGAGAGGCTGCCGTGGTTCACGTCCCCAGTGCAACCGGTAAGGGGTGAACCCTGTGGAGGAGTGTACAGACGTGTTGTACACTAGCTGTGCCCGCCCTAGATGGAGATCCCAATCCTGCTGATCAGGGCTGATCGCAGGACGCAACAACT